CCCCCCACGCGTTACGGGCACGTGCGTCTTATATCGCGTATATCCTACATCTCGTAGGGGCGAAGTTCCGCCATCCGTTCGAGTTATGCATAAGTAACGGCCAAATCCTCTTTTTAACTTCCGACTCGCGGCCCTCGCGCTTCGGCGAGACGAGGGAGGATATCCCCGCCTGTCGATGCAAGTCTATTCTTAAACGGAAAATTATGAGAGGGCGGAGGGAGATTCAAAGCGTGTACGGATTTCGACAAGTTGAGAGGATGAGATTGACACTTTAAAAGTCAGTTTAAACTTTACGATGTCACGAACGATGGAAATTATAACAATTCTGATAGCGCGAAGCTCGAAAGTGACTCGATGTGCCTGCAGGGCGTGCAACAGCCACGGAAAGAGTAAGCGCGAGCAGCGACAGTCAGAAATCGGAGCTGGTATATGTAACATTTTGGGAATAATTTATGTTTAAATACAAATAGCAAAAGATACGTCGAACGCGCAAGAAAATTGCTGTATTTTTCCGCGCGAGTGAATTTTCCACCGTGTTTTAGCCAGATGAGGCGGAGCCCGCCCGTATCGAATTATCGGTCCAACGTTGGACAAAGTCTCAAATTCCCAAAATACGCATGACGACGTTAATTGACGGCGATTCGATTTTCATTCGGTCGTCGCAAAACGCGAAATGCCGTCTCTATAATATGATATAATGATGTTATATCATGGCGCGCCATGTAACGCATGCCGCAACGCTAACATAATAATCATGTCCCGCCGATTTCGGATTTACGTTCCGCCCGATCGGATCCTTTACGCGGTATCCGTAACACAATGTAACGAAATTTCACGAAATATCAAATAAAGCGAGAGACGAAATAACCGATTTGCGACCCAATATCCAGCGGTATTAAGCAACGATGTTTTAAACAAAGAGTAAAATGTCTAAACGTTTAATAGCGGATCGTTAAATCGATTCTGCATTCCAGGATTTCTATTCGCGATCGTTATTCTCGATAAAAAAATTTTTTTTCCCCTCCCGTTTGCATAAACGGACGTTGCGCTGGAAAATATTCAACGGCAATATTATTGCTGCAAGTATCGAAAGCGCGCGGTCGGATACTGCCGCGTTTTTGTAGTAATGTAGTCAATAGCATTAAATTATACAAGAAACATTAAACAAACAGGCGAGTTATATCGCGATCATGCTTACGTGATTTCGCGCCCGGAAACAAAGCGAAATCGGCCAGTGCGGTTTCAAAGGCGCATTCAAATATTTGTTTGCAATTCCCCTTCCACTCTTTCGATTTCCAGACGAAATGGCAGCAACTGCGTGAACCCGATCCCGGCGAATGAATCGTCGCCGTTCGCCCGGATGATGCTTGTCTACCTGCACATTTCGGCCGCGTGCACGATTTCAGCTCGTGCGGAAAAAAAACGTCCCGCGTACGCAGCGGAAAAAATATTCTCGCCTGCAGGCCTCATCGAATTTTCTCCGTTTCTTCGTCGCCGCTTTTTTTTTCCGTGCGAGATAAAGAAGCTTTTGCCGCGCGAAAAAAAACGAGAGTTAAACAAGTTAAAGAAACAAAACAAAGTAGCATTCAATTTTTAATTACATTAATTTTATGTCTGATATCATTCTACAATTTGCTATAGGAAAAATAGAGAAGAAAACCGACAAATCATAGCGTTTAATAGCGAAAAATTTAAATGGCGAATTTTTATTTTTTATTTCGCTTTAAATATATCCTTTATACTTTCATTATAGCTCGAAAGTGTTTTGCACTTAATGATTACGACCGGGCGAATGATAAATAATTTAAGCCCTTGAGCACAAATGTAAAGCAAAAATCCGAACGAAATATGCGTCCCTCGCGTTCGAAACTCGATGTCGCGCGGTCAAACCCCAGGATTAATTGTGAATCTTTGATAAGGACACGGCTGGAGCGCGGGGTCTCGTCATCGCGAACGAGTCACCGCAATTTTCGCTCGACGAACGGATGCGTCGCGTGCATGCACACGCGCGCGCTTCATTCGTTGACAATAAAATTTTCGTCGCACGGACGTTTTTACGGATTGGTAAACCAACGGCGGCCGGCGATTCGGTGGGCAATTTATCGGTTCGGTTCGACGAGCAGAACGGGATGCGGACCGTCGAACGGGAGGTGTGACAACGGGGGTGCTCGTAAATTTACAATAATTTCGACGAGAGTGCACACCGACGCTCGCGCGGCGAGCGCACGAATGGTTGCAGACATTCCAAATTATCCTTGCTCTAAAATTCCATTCGAACGGCGGCGAACTTATTCGATTCGCCTTCCTCTTTCCCTCTCCCCCTCGTCGCCGCCGCCGAAAATTCGCCGCATCTCGCGGGATCGGGGGGGGAGGGGGCTCTTAAATCCTTCTCGCGAGAACTTGAACATCGATAATAATTTTGCCGAGCGGTAAAATGCAACGAAGTAAATCAAAGTTGGCGCTTGAAAGCGCCAATGGAGTGAAAAAAAAGGAGATACTAAAACATTCAGCTCTCTCTTTCAGCTCCATTCATATAATTATTTTCTTCATTTCCGGAAGAAAGTTCTCGAATAGTTTTTTATATTATAAAGTATTTCAACCGAGAGAGAAAGAAAGTGAAAAAGATGCAGGAGTATATCTTCCAAATGTCTTCGTTCCTTTTGTATATATGATAATACCGTTCAATTAAAAGTTCCTTTCCAGGATTCGCGATGAGGGAAAAGAAAATTTTCTTCTTGACGGCGTATACCGAATAATACCGAGTGCCACCTTCGATTTCCTCGGCGCGATTCGCCAAGACCGTTTATCCGAGACGTGCAACCTCACACTTCCCGTCGTCGTCGTCTCCGCTCTCGGCGTGCGGCGCCGGGCCGATAAATAATTCGCGAAATTTCACCCGGAATTCCCCGGAGTCGCGTTTACGGCATCCTGGCCTGCTCCCTCCCCCTCCCCCCCCACTGAGGAAAAATTTTCGCCCCCTCAGGCGGCGCGCACGCGACTATCCGAGGGAGAAAATCGTCCTGTAAGCGCGCGCGCGCACACGAGAGGAGCGACGATCCTCTTTCTCTTCCTTCTTTGTGTGCCATAAGGACCTTCGTTCTGCCTCTTACAAATTTAAAGAGGACAGTCAACGTTCTTTCTTTCGCGCCCGTCTTTTCGCTTAAATATGCAACAGCGTCGCGCTGCTGGAACCGAGACAAACGATCCGCGAAATTGTCCGAAGCAAAGAGTATGCAAGAGAAAGAGGATGGGGGGGGGGGAGGGCAGAGAAAAAGGGAAAAAGACGAGAAAATAACTCGCGGAACTATTTCCTATCCGAGATGTGTACATCCTTATTCTTTATGTTCCTCTTTACGTCGAAATAAATTACGTTATGTCCAAAGTGGCTGATTAAGATCTGTATAGGTATACAAAATGTGCATTAAATAATGTTATTTTTAAAATAACTTCTTTTCCTGGAAGTCTCTCCCTTAAGAGAAAACTCAGACATTTATGTTAATATTTATCAATCCCAGTCTTTCTTTAAAGTTAAGAAAACATCACGCGGCAAGTTTCTGTCGAATTTCCTTCTCTTTCACTTTACATACCTGCACTTTTATATTTATACGCAAGAAAAGTATATCTCTTTTTCTTACCTCTTCGAAACTGATATCGCAACAAGTCAATTAAAGTAATTGCTTCTTTTAACCTTATACGCTCAATGTTAGCTCGATCGGAATCGACAAAGGCGAGGAGTTTCGCCGCTGAAACTTTCCGCGTTGCAATCTGGCCGAGCAATTCCCAGAAAATATTTGCATGTCACTCGATTTGTATTATTTATTCGCAGGGTATGTAACAGCGAACGGGAGCCAATCGGTGCGATCCGACGGAAAGATATTACCGCGATTTTGTAAGTCTATTTGGAGCACTGGTTCGCCCGTCCGGCGAGGTCGCAAGTTTCGTAGTATTTCGTAGGTATTCTGTTTTATCGAGGATTAACTAACGACTGTGTTATGGAATCAAGCGCGCGATGCAGTTTTCACGGAACACGTCACGCAGCGTTTACGTGCGACATAACGTTTGCTTAATATCCTTGCAGAACGCCAAGGATGTTACGAGCGGACTGAGGAAACATTCGCAGGATTTCATGGTCTCGAGGGAGTGACAAAGAGACAGAGAGAAAGAGAGGGAGGGAGGGAGGAAAGGGAAGAGAGAGAGAGAGAGAGAGAGAGGGGGAGAGAGATGGGGAAAATGATGGAAGACATAATCTTGCTTAAGAGGATTAACTCCGATCCTTGAGTGACCGAAGATAAAGAGAATCTGCACGACGTGCTTTCGACGATCGCCTCCGCGGTGGAAAAAAAGAATAATATTGCTCGCGACGAACGACGAAGAAAGCGGAACTTTTCTCTCCGCTTAGACGTTTTGTACGGGCGCTTAAAGCGCCCCGCCGAAATAAGAGAGGAAATTACTCATCGACGTGTCGACGCGAATGATCGTTCGCGTGGAAACGACGCGCGAGACGGCGAAGACTGACGTAATCCTGCGCGGAGATACCCGGAGTTACACAAGTGCGAGGTTTTCCGAGGAGGATCGAGGCGTGTTTTCCTTCGCCGCTTCCTCGGAGACTAATCCGAGAGTGGATCGTCTCGCGCGTCGGGGCGCCTTCAAATCTGATTAATTGCGTCGCGCCGCCGCCACCGCGGCGAAGCCTCGCTTTGATCGTCGTGATTATGCCGAAGGGGGGGGGGGGCTAAGGATCTTTCCGCGTTAACTTCGGCAATTTCATTTCCTGGCAAATGGCAAGCTCCCGCATAAAAACATCGCTCTAACTTGTCGCAATCGAAAACGACCCTTCTTCGACATTTCAATTTCATGTAAGTGGCATTTTTCGTTCTAGCTTGATCAAATCAATAAGTGTGGAATTCGAAGGGATTGTTGAATTTTAATGGATAATTCGATGATATTTTCGCATTTGTTAAATTTCCGAAAAATCCATCCTTTTTACGGGACTGTCGATTAACGATCGGGTAATTACAGTCTGAACAACGATCCCCTTTTCAGCGTGTAATATATTTCGGATTTTTTAATATTTGTTTTTAATATTGCGAAAATGTCACTCATGTCTCCACGCGCAATCATTTCGGCGTTGCGCAATGATTCGCATAATCAATTTCGGCATTAATGCCGCATGCATCGAATAGCGCCCTAGGCGGATGAACCCGGTGCGCAATGTTAATGCCGGACGGAATAGGCGTACTAATTAGGGGATATTTCATTAGGACCCGCGTAAATAGCCAGTAAAATCGGTCGTCCCTGAAATTCCGCCCTGTGGCCGTTTGCAGCGGTTAAATACATACATGTATATATATATATATATATATATATATACATACACACACAAACGCGTGCCCGTTTACTACGCACCACACTTTTGTCTCTTTGAAGCTAATGGCATTGAAAGCTCGATGTTAATAATCGGAATTTCGAAAAGCTAGCGACAGGGGTCGGCGCGACGCGCCTGTTTTATAAATAATATTGTCTGGCGTTACAACGGCGCGATAATTAATCACGTACATAGCTAAAATTAAATGCCTGCAGGAAAAAGTAAGATTAAAATCCGTCACTTCGAAAAAAATTAATGTCTCACATATGGCGTCTTCTCGTTTACGATGATACGAGGGGAAAAAATTGTAGATTTTGTATTTTATAATGTAGCTACAGTTGTACATAAATATAAAAGTTCAGCTCCTCTTCTCGTTTTCACGCGTATGACTCATTTGACGGTACTTATACATTTTCACACTTGCATTAACGCTATATTTTCGATTTTAATAAAATGATCATTTTAAAATGATTCATTTGCGATATCGTCCATACTACCCCTCGGTAAGGATCTTTCAGAGCGAACATAACGGTATTACACGACGACGGGATGTATATTGCGCAATTTGGGGTAGGTTAAAGGGTCATGTTGGAAGTGTTCGACCAATGCCCTGCAGGCCAATTGCAACTAACCCAGATAACCTTCGATAACGATTCGACTGATTCCTCGTTTACGACCTATGTCTTCCTCGTTTACGATCTAAAATTATCCTTGTACAGATAATTATACGAGAATAGGTAAACGACAAATAGAGGAGAGATGGCCCATTAAAAGCCATTACTTCAATAATAGATTCTTAATTAATTCGTCTAATGTCATTTATGTTTCGCGCATCACACACGCAATTAGAATTCAGTCTATATTTATGTTGATACACGTACGTTAACTCGGCTCGCCGGCTGCGGAATATTTGCGCATCGTTCTCGGTTCATCGTTAAACGTTCGATTTACGGCGAGAACCACATACTGGTTCCGATTTGCAAAAAAAAAAAGAGGAGCGGTCGATGTAGCGCCTACCTCGTGGAACCAGGTCAGTTTGTGTGATCTGGGATTCGCCCTGACGTTGCACTCGAAGTAAACGTCGGAGCCCTCCTTGATGTTCTTCGGGTTCAGAGTGGAACCGATCTTGAGGCTGGCGATCGGCGCAACTGCAATCAGAATTGAAAATCGCATGCTGAATGTAAAGTGACAAGTATAATTCACCATTTGCGAAGTTTGTGCACTCGTACTTTCTTACGGTTCCAAGATATTAAATATATATCGTTATTATCTCTCATCTCCAAAAAGTTTACGCATGATCAATTATAATTATAAAAAATACAATATAAAATAATACATTATTTTATATTGTATTATTTTATTACACAATTATTATTAATATATTATTATTATTATATATAATATTATTATATATAATATTACACAATTATTATTAATATATTATTATTATTTTCCATATTATTATATAGAAAATAATTTTTCTGGTTAAACCAACATAGATTTCAACTTCCATTGAAGAGAACTGTATGTACATTTGTAGAAATTAATGTACAAATTTTCAAAATCTATTTCTACATTCGAGCGACAGCGACATGAATGATTCCGGACTTTGTGATATTTAGGCACGTCGGAATATTTAACATATCTCGCGCAATATTCGAGCGAGATTGCGAAAAAAAAGACCCAAGCGCCGCGGGTGTATCCAAGCGTGGCGTCATCGGTAATTTATAAACGTCGCTTTGACACAGTGTTATTTATGAACCGATAGATAGCAATGCACAGCGGAATAATATTGCGGATATTGACGGGCTGGAGTTTAATGAAATCTGCATTTTCGGCAGTGGAGTCAAAGCGGAAACGCGTCACGTTAGCCCGGAATTTTATCGCGCGTGATTTTCTCGTATAATGAAAATCGCGATTGATCACTACGTCAATTCTGGAATGGAACGGATGCGTGTGTGTAGCTCTGTGTAGAGTTAATTTGCGAATAATGATGATAATGATAAAGGGCGATGATTAGGGACCAGAATTTCATTTCGCTAACAATCGAATGCGCGTTTGTGCCAATAAAAGTGCATGAATTTTACATTTATGTAAAACTGACTAGCAGCTGCGCCGAAAGAAAAGTAAATATAAATGCATAAAAATTCTTATAAATTATTACTGTGCTATTGATAGAATTCATTATTAATTCCGTAATATATTAAGTAATTTTTATTTTAAGTAATTTTTATTATAAAGTCATTTTATCGGAGAAAGAATGTAAAACTTTCGCAATAACTCTTCAATCTGTTTTAATTAATTAATTACAATTACGCAAATATAATATATACGCCAATAAATTAGCGATATAAACGTGAATTATTCGACGCTTTCATTTAATATAAACGCACGAAATTTCTTTGAAGGCTTTCAAATTCATTACAGTTAGCTCATACAAAATTATACAATAAATTTTCAGAGCTAATTTAATAGCACGGTCGTGCGGATGTTGTTTGACCTTTTCATTTCATAATGCGCAGATGTGTAATGTTGTTAGTGGCTTTTAAAGCTAATTAATTATTGTCTTACGACGCGAATGGCACAACCGATAATTCCACTCGCGTGGCACGACAATGTTATACACAGCATCGCAAAATAGGATCCCGATGTTCAATGGAGAAGAAACAGCGGCGCAGAAGGCTCTTGAAATGGGATTACTGGTCCATAAGGCTGTTTAAATAATAAATCAAAGTGAACTAATTTAAAGCCCCCCCTCTAATGGCATGAGGGAAATGTAAACGAACACGACGGTGCTCAACGCGGAGAGCTCAGCTATTAATAATGACACTTTGATCAAAGCATTGAAGTTTCCGTCAGTGATATCTTCGGCGTTATCATAATTAGGTGGAATAATTATAACACGCGCGTATAGATTGTACGTGTACACGCTCCTGTTTATGAATTATTTAATTAACGGGCAGGTAATAACAAATTTTGTTAAGCGCGACGTGCAAATGAAATCTCTCCTCGTATTGTGTTCAGCTGCCTATTGCCGGAGAGAAAGCGGCCGTTGTTTCGGGATATACCCTTGTGTGTGCGACCGGAATATTTGTAACAATGCAATCGCGTATAACTACAATTACTAGCGTCGCGTATATACGGCGCATTGCCGTCGCGCCCGTAGCGTTGCGAGATAGTAATTGCATGTTGATTCAATCTATTCTCGTAACACACGTGGAAACGGCCAATGAGAATCGCGGGAGTGTTTCTCGATAAACAAAGTGGCATTGATTCCCATCGCATGACGATCGTTTTCGCGCGAAATCGGACGAACCAGCGCGAGGGGAGGGGGGGGGAGAAGGGAGGGAGGGGATACGCGCGCCTCCAGCTTTCTCTCGCAATATTTTTCTTCGATTTCTCCGTATAGCGTCGATTTCAAAGCAAAATGAGGAAAAAATTATTATTTCTTCCGAGTGAGTGCGAGCGACTTTTAATTAACGTGACTTTAATAAAAACGGGGGAGAGTTATATCGAATATCGTGAAAATCGGCGGTCTCTAGCGCAGCGTCCGCGCCCGAGAAAACAGAAAGCTCTCTTCCGCCGAGAGAAATCAGCGGGCGAGTACGAATAGTTCTTTCAGCTCCCTTTTCCGCCGTCTGAAATAATTGAAGAGAAACATGTCAGATGATTTTACTGGTTTGTATCAACCTCTTGATTGAACAGCAGCTTGAAACTGGAGATTGAAATGAAACACGTTGGAAAATTCAACGGGAGAAAATGTGAAACCGAAAAAAAAATATATATATATAATTAAATGGAGCTCACATTAAATAGAGATCACAACTTTTTTATATTCGTTCATTCTTCCGTCACAATTAACGAGATGAGGTGTCGTTAATCGTCACAGTTTACAATGCACGAAATAAATGGCACTGCAAAAAATTTTGTAGAATAAAACGATTATATGCTTGGTAGAGTGTAGAAACGAATATCACGTTAGAACGATAGAGAAGCGACCATCTATGCTCTTTGAAATAGTTTCCAATGTTAATTGCAATCGCGGCGGATTTCATTTCAACTCGTTTGTTCGCCCAGGATCTGAATTGGTTTCGCGTAGTTAGTTTCCACGCCGTCGCGAATCTTGCGCGCGGAAACGGAAGACGTGGGGAATAGAAATAAGTAGCGAAACGCGACGGGGGCGGGGAAGAAGGGGGAGGATCGTCGACGGAGCGGAAAACACGACTTATGACTGAACCTGCCCAATAAATTCGCGAGATATAATGCGACGGGCAATTACGCAATGGGGAAACCTTCATTTTACGTTTTGCGTCTGATGTGTACATGCGCTGTGGATACTGCACTTGTAAAATTGTCATATTTGTAAAAAAACAAAAATCCTCAAAAAGCTTAAAATAAATCAATGCAAGAGTAACCTGCGAATGCAGGAAAGTCAATATAATATTCTGAGAAATAAATACGATAAATGGGAAATGTCAATTTAAAATTTTATAATGAAAATCAACGCAATTCTGATTTTTATCGAATATAACAAGATTCAATGAATTTTGTATTTCTATCCCAAATTCAAGCGATATTGTAGATTAAATAGATAAATCGAACACACGTCCACACGTACACACTGTGTCCACACGCTGTAATTCTAAAAAAAAAAAAATTCTCACAAGCGAATTAGATTCGCGCGATAATCTACATTGACTGTTCCCCCGCGTGGAATTTACGGAATCGCGTCTTCGCACAGAATCTACGATCGCGTTGCGCGCGTGGGATTATAATAGAACCGCGCGGTATTGCGATATTCATATCGCGAGCTGCTGATTACGTCGGCAAACACGATCGTCGCGAGCTCGGAAATGCGGCTCTCGCGACTACGGTATGTAATCTCGAAATAAATCTTACATCGGCGCATATAGTGCGCGCGCGTCGCTTCCCCGGATTGTGCTGCTGCACGTTACGTTAGTAGTGCGCGTGCACGATATAAACGCGCGTGCATGCGGCGACACCACAATATGCAGCCGACGATGCAGCCGTGGCTGCATTCAGCCGCTCTGAAATTCGCGGAGTACGTGCAACCGCATCCGCAAGCCCTCTCTCGCGGGATGCTTCTTCGCACGTGCATTCGAACGCTTAAGCCACGTTTAATCCTTTTCGCTGGCGGTTCCTTACTTGTGAAAGAAATGCGTATTCCTTTTTATAGATTTTACAGATTTGCAGACACCTCACAGAAATTCCGAAGAATTTTTTGAACACATTTTACCTAAAACGTGGATTGTTTTTTATTACGTCATGTTACGTTTTAAAATTCTGTCTTGTGTAAGGATGCTGCTTATATTTATGGAAGGTATTAACTTATTTTGCATAAGAGTCCTTTTAGTTGCAAATAAAAATCACATTTTACATTCACGAATATTATTTATTACAGGATTGCCAAACACCGGACTTTCTTCTCGTGTTTAAATATTTAATAACGTTAAATATTTAATTATTTCGTAATTTGATGCAATCCTCGATCATCCAAATATTTGTTCAGAGGCTTTTGTTCCTCCCCTTTTGTGCCTCTCTTTCGGAGGCCATCCTATTAATATTATTTTACGAAATTGATTTTTAAGCGGCACTCGTGGTACGTGCATTGTATTTTTCGCGCACCCAGCAGTCGAACGAAATTGGCCGGATGATTGGTTAGCGGTTTCCGATCGCGCTCACGATCGCGCCTCGATGGAAACTAGCAAAAGCGACACGGCGCGAGCAATTATCGTGCCGCGTCGGGCATTTTCATTTCTGCGGGAGCACTCAAATCGCGACACTCTCTCTTTTTTTCTCTCGCCCCCCTCCGCTTCGTCGCTTTCCGCCGGACACGCGTCGCGTATCCGGTTCCGCGCGGACCACCAACCGATCTCTGTATTGAAACCCTGTTCCGCATTATTCCACCTACCTACACCTCTGGGAATCCTCGGTAATAGCGAGTCGTTGAAAATACAAAAAACGATATTGCGTAGATAATTTCATAACAACTGGTCCTCGTCTCGCGTGATATACATGATTAATGATACGCATTGCAGGATGTTTCTGAACAATAATTAACTCTATAAAATAAATAAACGTGATATTTTCTTTAAATATTATAATGATATTCTTTCCGTAAAAGTCA